TAAGATGAATCCGGATGGGTCCATTGCTCGATTGAAAGCCCGTCTTGTCGCTAAAGGATATGCTCAAACCTATGGAGTGGACTATTCTGACACTTTTTCGCCTGTTGCTAAATTGACATCTGTTCGGTTGTTCATTTCTATGGCCGCTACTCATCATTGGCCTTTGCATCAGCTTGATATCAAGAATGCTTTTCTTCATGGTGATCTTCAGGAGGAGGTGTATATGGAGCAACCTCCTGGTTTTGTTGCTCAGGGGGAGTATGGGCTTGTTTGTCGTCTTCGAAAATCTCTGTATGGTTTGAAACAGAGTCCTCGTGCTTGGTTTGGCAAATTTAGTCAGGCTGTTGAAAAATTTGGTATGATGAAAAGCAAGTCTGACCATTCTGTGTTCTACAAACAAACGGCAGCTGGTATCATTATTTTAGTGGTGTATGTGGATGACATTGTCATCACTGGAAGTGATACTACGGGAATCTCATCTCTTAAGTCTTTCCTTCACATTCAGTTTCACACGAAGGATTTGGGGATGCTAAAGTATTTTTTGGGTGTTGAAGTCACAAGGACTAAAAAAGGTATCTTCTTATCTCAGAGAAAATATGTCCTTGACTTATTAACTGAGACAGGAAAATTGGGGGCGAAGCCTTGTAGTGCTCCAATGACTCCAAACATGCACCTTACAAGAGATGGAGAACAAATTGACGATCCTGAGAGATATAGAAGGTTGGTTGGAAAGCTGAATTATCTTACGGTGACTCGTCCAGATATTGCATATTCTGTCAGTGTTGTTAGTCAGTTTATGTCATCCCCAACAGTTCATCATTGGGCAGCGCTAGAACAGATTTTGTGCTACTTAAAAGGAGCACCTGGAAGAGGTATCTTGTATGCAAATCATGGGCACACTCGTATTGAATGTTTTTCAGATGCAGATTGGGCAGGTTCCAAAGTGGATAGAAGATCTACATCAGGTTATTGTGTTTTTGTTGGAGGAAATTTGGTCTCATGGAAGAGTAAGAAGCAGAGCGTTGTGTCAAGATCGAGTGCAGAGGCAGAATATAGGGCTATGGCACAGTCTGTGTGTGAGATAACATGGATATGTCAGCTCTTGAGTGAAATAGGTCTTAAGATTTCAGTTCCGACAAAATTGTGGTGTGATAACCAAGCTGCCCTTCATATTGCATCTAATCCTGTGTTTCATGAGCGAACTAAGCATATTGAAATTGATTGTCATTTTGTTCGTGAGAAAATTCAGCAAGGTTTGATTTCTACAGGGTACGTAAAGACTGGAGAACAATTAGGGGATATCTTCACGAAAGCTTTAAATGGGGTTCGGGTTGATTATCTTTGTAACAAGTTGGGCATGATTAATATCTATGCTCCAACTTGAGGGGGAGTGTTAAAGGTCGTAACTAGATTGTAATTAGTGGTTGATTAGCTTTATTCTAGATTCCTAATTTATATTCTTTCCTTAAATAGATTCCTAGATTTTGTATATATATGTGTAACCCTTTTCCAAAGAGATTGAGAATAATATTCTTCACAATACCTTTCTCTTCCTTTCGGTACTTTGTTACAATTATTACCCAAATAACCGTGTTTCACAAGATGAGTCAAAACAGTAGAATTGGAATGTCCCAATTTCTTGTGCCTGATATCAGTTACGACAATACATGCAAAAGAAATAATACTAGGAATGGAAACTGGAGGTAACAAACGTCCCACTTTAGGCCCCTTCTCGATCACCTTTCCCGACGCTTGATCCTACACAAGACAACCTGATCCTAATGGACGTCACAATTATTATATACCAATTGTCCAACAAAAATCAAACTTGTAGATAAATCAGGAAATACAAACACGTTAAATGAAGGCCCCAATTTTCCAACCGCAGTTATTGGTAGCGTACTACCATTTGTTATTTCTATGTGTTGTTTACCCTCATACTTTTGAACATTATGCAAGCTATCTGTATTTCCAGTCATATAATTTGAAGCAGCAAAATCAACCAACCAAGTACAGGAGCGTAAACTTTCATTACCTTGTCCCCGAAGCAGAGACGGCAGACATAATTATCTGATTCATTTGTTGTATAGAAGAATTGCTTACAGAGGTCCGATCACCGGCTAAGGTAGACTGAACATTACCTTGAAAAGCCTGAGCCTAGCGATTTTGAGGTCGTGCGCAGTCCTTAATGATATGTCCTTCCTTCTTGCAATAATTACCAATTTTTTTGCTACAATGCTTCGCAATATGCCCAAACTCTTTGCAACTGTAGCGTTGCGTCTGAGATTTTGATTTTCCTCATCCCCAAGCAGCGTAGGCCACATTAATAACCTCGAAGGAGACAGCCATTTGCGTCATTTCTAGTAAGGTAGCGAGACATTGTTTTCACGTAATAATTCTCCCAGGTAGATATCCAATGATGGAACAGGATTATGGTTGAGTAAACTAGCCCCAACGGTTTCGAATTCTGGTAGGAGCTTCATAAGATATTGATCCCTTTGATTTTTTGTTTGAATTTCCTGTAAGGAGACCAATGCTTCCTTGGGAGCTTTGGAATGAATTATGCCAAAGTATTCGCTCCATAGAGTAAAGAGCATAAAAATTATCAATCAGAAAATTACCTTGATTGTATTGCGCAATTTCTAATTCCAACTGGAACTTCCTTGCAGAATTTCCATGATTTTAAACACGTTTAAGATAATCCGACATCTCCTTAGCCGTAATGAATGAGCGGAGATTGGATATCATATGAGATTCGATTGATCCCAAAATCCATGAGATAATGCAAGCATCTGCACTTTCCCATTGTTCTCTTCCTTTTATATCTACAGGAGTTGTAGATGACCCATCTAAATGGCCCCACAATTCTTTGCTTTTTATAAACTTTTTGAACCGAAACTCCCACGTGGAGTAATTTTTCCATTAAAATGGACAAAAATATTTTCTGCCAACATTATAGCACTAAAACACGGCCCAATCAGCAATATAAATGTTTTTACAACAACCAAACTCCCAAACAATAACCTAAATCAATTGCCCAAAAAATAGCCCACGCCAATAGTAAGGCCACAAAGATAAGGAAGATGTTGCCCAGCCCACTACGATTTCAGTAACAAGAAAAAACTGTAGCTTACTATCTGCAGGCCTCGATTTCAACAATCGATCGACGATTGCTCACCAAAAGTAGAAGTTGAAATCTACCACGATGCCGATAGCCAAAAAATTGATCGACAACCACAATGATTGCATCCCATAATTTGATGACTGGGTTACGATCTACCCATGATCCAACAAAAGAATCCAACAGTCACAGAGGTCATCGACTGCCAAGAATGTAGTCACAAAAGAGGTAACTACACAAAACTTCCACAAGCCGAGACCACCGAAAAATATCAAAATTGGGGAAAACCCAAAAAATCAGGTTTCTTGAGCCAAGAGAAATCCCAAAAATCGAAATACAATTCCATGTTTGAGGCACTAATACCATGATAGAATTATAAAATTGTCAAATGCCTCTTAATTGAGAGTTTCTTCTCATTAAATAGAACGTGTTTCCTAATTACAGCCCCTAATTACAACGTAAATATTCTCCATCAAATCTCCCAATTACATCTATTTCCTAATTACATCCTGATCATAATCTGTAATATCTCTTATATAAGGAAATATATACTATTCTATATTTACAATATAATTGTACATACAACGACAATTTTATATTTGGATATAACCAATTTGATACAAAAGGTGAGAGAGATCTCAAGCCTATTTCCCATTCATGAGTGGATCACCGACACATATTCCTAAATATAAAGAATCATCTGATACACGAAAATCACAAGCAGAGTCTCAAACATTTTGCTGACATCTTAGCTAGTAAAATAACTCAAGGCTATTCTCAAAACTTATCTTATTGTATATGGTGATTACATTGTACCATGACTACCGTGCTACGTAGTATTTGGCAAACATATAGACCTTTTTTTTCCTTTTACAGGAACTTAAATATGCAAAATCATGTTAGTTAGTCTACAGTATTTTGTTCCCTATCTGATTAATATTACCCAAACACAACCCATGTGCCTTGCATGTGAGGTGCTAAAAGGGGCAAGGAAAGAGAGAATGGTTCAAAGACCTACCAAAGTGGAAGGCAAACCAAAACATGAAATCCGGTCACAGTTAGAAAGTAGTTCAATCATAAGGGAAATGGAAGATTATGCAAACCTCCCCCACAACTCGAAAAAGGGAAAAAAGATATTAAAAATTGAATTTGGAAATAAAAAGAAATAAACATAACAAGTAAATATTTATAAGAACATCACATTTCCAGGAGTTCGTAGAGAAAATCACTGAGGTTAGGCATTCATGAGGCCAGCTGCCATACAATATTGACATTTGCTCCCAAGAAATCAATTTCCCTTCCATTTTCCTCATGGACTGAAATACTAGTACTTTTGCTCCCTCATTAACTTTAAATGTCCTTTATCCATTTTTCTATCATGCATCTCCCCACCACCCCACACGCACACACAGAGACAGAGAAACTTATATAACATCAGAAAGCTCATCAATAAAATAACCATGTTCCTACAACAAAAAACACAAAATTACTGACACATTTGTTTTGACAGCAAACCCTCCCCCATTCTTGCCAAGATAAAAAGAATGAAAAGATAGGACGTCTGAGTGACTGCAGAGAAGGAACTGCCAGACAAATGGGCTGAGCTATGATTTGATAATAGAAAAGTGTACCCCATAAACTAAAAAAATAAAAAAAAGACAATAGAAGTGCATGAGATATACAGTCTTTTACATTCTGTTATTGTCCACTCTGACTTGAGGAAAAACGATAGAAATGTATTAGATAGAAAGAAATTACCAAAAACGCCAGCAAAGCACCACTCCCAAGCAAGAAAAAATAAGATAAAAACAGGGGAAAAAAATACACACGCACAAAGAGGATGACAGTTGAGTACGAGAGCAAGGTTATATATACATACTAGTTTATAGTACCAAGTGCGCTTGACAAGGCGCTGAGAGTACCACTCGAGATCAGACGCCACGTGCCCTGTGAACAGCGAAATCAGCCCCACGGCGAACAGCATCAGCCCACAAATAGCCGTCCACGGCACCACCACCGCCGGCCTCCGCCGCCATTTCCAACACAGAATGGAAGAAGCCAGACTATTCAACTGCAGTCCTCCACAATACCTCCCTGCCTTCTTAGCCACCGCCATTCTGCTTCCTCCTTTCTCATAGTATATGTAATATCACAATATTACCATCAAATCCCACACCAACAAAAATACAAATAATAGATAAAAATGCTGTTCTGAAGAACCCTAATGTGGGTTTTTTGGGATCTTTTTAGTGTGTGAACAATGGCGAATTTGATGCGAGTTGAGAGGGGGAAAGGGAAAAAAGAGTTTTAATAAATGAGAAGGTGAGATTAATTAATTCAGATAATTGTATATATTTTGGATTCAATTTTTGCATATGAGATCGGTAATTATGAAGATGATGGATTAAGGAGAAAATTTAACCGATTTAACGGCGCATCAGTTGTAGAAATGGAAAGTAAAACTCTTGGGAAATCTTTTATGAGTGGGATCTGTTGTACAGTTTACCGTCCATTTGTACGGTTTCCCAAACTTTGGAAAGTGAGCCCGTACTCCAAGGTGTCTTTCTTCATATAGCTTTGAAAGGAATACCGTGCGACATTAATTTGCTCCGTTATACTACCTTTCGTCTTTTTTCGATCGTTTCGAGACGAAAGAAAATTTAAATACAATATATAGAAAGCTTGCAACATAAAATTGAGATAAATTGAAAGTAAATTGATTATTGATTGCTTGAAAGTTAGAAATTACAATTGATGAAAGCAGGAAATTACAATGACTAGTGCAGGGGG